AAAAAAATACCCAGTTTTGTGCGTATATACCGAAGTAATACTTATATGATTCATAATTATTTACGATGGAAACTGACGTCAGACGTCTACCTGATAAAGTTAGTTAGTCAAGGAGGCGATGTGTTTTTTTTTGTCTTGCATCATCATCTTCATTCGGTTTCTTTTCTCACAAAAACGCAAAATTAAGATGGAGTGAAAAAAAATAAAAATTATTCTGTTCTATAAGAAAGATTTTTTGAGTATATAGTTATACACGTCATATATATTGACTCAGTAAGTAGGAAGACATTTACATTAACATTCAAAATTTTTAATTTCTGTTTGAAGATCATGGTAGGTCTTTTACTATTCAAAGTTAAACAAAGAGAAAATCTTTCTTGATCTTTTTTAGTTTTAAAAGCTGAGAATTAAATTTTTATTTTTATTTTATTAACTTTTCATCACTTGTTGATTATTCGATTGTAAAACTAGATTAAGACTCAATACATTTCTTTGATGTTTTATTTTAATTGAGTTTTTGGTTTATCAATCAATCGAAAGATCGATGAAGTTCGATTTTTATTTGATTGACATAAATATTTATTACAAATTATTTTTTTAAATTGAGGAATTGATCGGATTCTTTTAAATTCTGAAGGCAAAGATCGATTAGATGAAATTGTTGAATTAATTCTATTAAGTTCCTTTGAGTATAATGAAATTATCAAAATTCTTAGATTCTAGATCATAGTATTGCATGATTTAACTCATTTTGAAATTGTTTAAGATGAATTTAATTGATTTTTTTTTTTGTATTTTCGATCGATGTTTTATTCTTTTTCTTTTTCATTTTACTTTTGTCTATTGCATTTTGATGTGATGAAAAAGAATTTTATTTTTCATATTTCTTGAAGTTTATCTCGTTTGTTAATCGAATTTGATCGCGTGTTGTTTCATATTCTCATGTAATTATAGTTGGTATTAACCGATTATAATGAAATCCTAATGATTGTTCATAGAAAAATGGATCTTGAAAATCTGATAAACCATAATTTCGATTCTCATCTACTGATAATTTTAAATATGATGAACGTCAAATAGAAAGACAACAATACACAAAAAATTAAGAAGAGAAATTTAAATTTTATCAATTGGAACAATTTTCAAGACGCATTATTTTTAGTTTTCGTTATTAGTGTGGAATTTTTCTTCGCATCTATATCTTTGTCAGATGATTTCAGTTGCAAACTTAGAGTGAAAAGGGACAGGGTGAGCAGAAGTACGAAATATCATCGTGTGCGTCTATACAGTGGAGGGAAACGTCTTATTTTTGCGGAAATTCCATCTTAGGAACAACATTTCGTGTGAAAAATGATCATATTTTACAATAAATTTTACACCTCTGGGATGAAGTATGGCTCGATTTTCCACTCTTTCTTCGCTCTTGAAGGTACTTTTTTCCGAGTTTTTCCAGCAAAAACGAGTTTACACTAACTTAGGTTAGCCAGAAATCGTGATTTCACCCTATGGTCACACCACCACTCTTCGAAAAAATTCTCTCACTACCTAAAAGAGCATCGTCTGTTACTGGTTTATTCATATATGAGACATACACGTCTGTACAAGTCTAAGATATATGCAACTTGAGGATGCTAGTGAATGTATCGTCTCAAATTGAATCAGTTCTATGTTACAATAAAAAAAGCATTAATAATAATGATGTTAGGTGC